AAGCTGTTCTATTCTCCATAATCCAGTCAAACATCAGAAGAAAGAGAATGGGAGAGAGCAGATAGTCTTGTCTGGTCCCAATCTTTAGGGATTATTTTCAATAAGTGAGAAGAATTACATTTAAAACTATACACCCGGATAGGTCCGAAATGGTGAACGTGTGGGATCTGTTCGGAATTAATAATAATAATAATTTATTCTCAAATAACAGTTTGTTACATGAGGCATGCCAGTTTGCAGACAAGATCAAATTGTTACAAATGAAAGAAAATTTGTCCCTGATGTTGAATTCCGAGGTACTAACAAACCAAAGGGAGGAGTAAATCCAAACATTCAAAAATCGATGCACATGAATATTATTAATATAGAAGAATTCTAATTTTTTAAAACCTATGGGTTTCGAGTACCCTCATTTATATGGACTACCCAAAATTCACAACCCAACCAATCCTTCACGACCAATTTTATCAATGTGCCGATCATCTAAACAAAACCTGGATAAATGGCTGACAAAATAGTTTGACACTTTTCGAAAATGTTTATGTGAGTATTCTGTGAAGAATTCTTTTGAAATGGTCGATTATTTAGGTGATGTTAATATCAAGGAGAAGACAATCTGTTCATTTGACGTGAATTCCCCCTTCAGGAACGTACCTTAGGAAAAGACTATTAATATATTATATGACTACATATATTTAAACAATCCTAAATTTCGTGCCCCTTTAAAAAGTCGTAAAGACTTATTATTATAATGTACTGATAAAGTTCAGTTCGCTTGAAGGTGAATAATTTCTCCAGGTTATGGGGTTGCAATAGTTAGTCTGCTAGGACCATTGTTAGCAAATGTTGAAACTCTGGCTGATGACGTAATCGAAAACATGTCACTTTATAAGGGGTGTGTGGACCATATCTTTGTTCTTTGTGAACGAAAAGAGGATATGTACTGTTTATTGAATAAATTTGACACTCTCCTAAAGCATATCAGTCTCTCACATGAAGAGGAGAAGAACGATCAGCTTCCCTTCCTAGATATACTTCTAAGTAGACGAGATGGCTCAGTCAAGCTATCCATTTTTAGAAAACCAACGTGGACACGTCAATACCTTAGTTATTATAGTTATTGCCCTATGCAATACAAACGGGGTTTGATAAGGTGCCTTTTCAACAGGCTTGATCGTATTTGTACAAATGACGCCATTGATGATGATGTTAAGTTGCTAAATAAAAAATGGCTATCCTCTGAAATTCATAAATAGATGGAAAGTCCATGGTACAATGAGACCTACTGTAGCCTTAGTGGAATAAAGCCTGTCTACATCACCTTACTATTCAGAGGTGATTCAAATAGCCTTTCATTGAAACAAAGACTTAAATCAGTCATCAACAAAATGTATTGTGCAGTAAAGGTCATTATCAAAGAAAGAACAAGGTGCATGCTTCATCAAAAGCCTAAAAGACATGAAAACAATTGTGTCACATCCCACTGTGTTTACCAATCTAAATGTGTGTGTGGTCACACATACTTAGGGAGGAGCAATCGTGATCTCAAAATTAGGGTGTGTGAACACGTACCAAAATGGTTGCAGGAACAAATACAACCAAGTGGCAAAATAAGAGAAGAGGATAAACATCCATCATCCTCTATTGTTAAACATATAATTGAAACAGGCCATAAGGTTGATCTAAACTCGCCTTTTGTGGTGTTTTATAAAAGTGTAAAAGGGTGTGTACTAAAGTTTATTAAAGCCTTAGCCATACGAAAACTAAAACCCCCTTTGTGTGTTCAAAAACAGTTTTTTCTCACCTTAAACCTACCCTGGTAATATTGACTTATTATCCAGAGTGATTAGGTTTCGAACTGTGTTCATACTGTCATTATTACTCTTATTATTTTCACAGATTGAACTCTTATTATTATCCTTATCTCCTCAAACTCCATTTCCAGTCTAGTTGATCTTTTATTTTTACATACAAATGCTCTTAACAAGTATATGTGTTATCGGATTGTTCGAAATGTATTGCGCTAATATATCACATAAGTCTGACCATCTTCATCTTCTTATTACATTACCGAAAATTTTCAAAGAAACTAATTGCTTTAACTTCGAAGTACACTTGACTAAACATCAATTCGTCACTTTCTAGTTCTGAATGCTGTTTACTCATATTTATAAGTGCAATCAAGCTAACTGTCGCAGCCGCTCATAAAAAGTCTCTGTCATCAGTCTTGTTCCTAACTGTAGTGTCATAAGCCACATTTCAAGTTTTGTCTTATATTAATTCAACCTTCTTATTCCACATCAACGGACAGGTTAAAGTAGCTTGCACATGCCTTACATTATGTTCTTTTGATGCCATTTTAATTTAAAAATTATCTCAACCAGTGCTGATATTTTCCACCAAAACTATCAAAATCGAAATTATGAACTCGGCTATAAAATTAGCTGCATAAAGTGACGTTTATAATATCTAAAACCACTGGTAATAAAAAGTCACCCCCCAATTTGGTGTTAATTGTTAGTCACAAATATGCACAAAAGAGAATATACGCAATCTGCTGTTAAATTAGGTTAGATTATAGTAGACAAACGGTTGGTGCAAATCATCAGTTAATGTAGCCGAGCAACACCGCGGATACTGAAAGCATCGATGTCAAATTTACTCAAACACTGACAAAGTTTATATCATTGCCAGAGGCATGAGTTGGAAGTTTTACTCCTCTTGATAACAACTCACTAATCATTTTGTCAAGACTTTTTTGCTGGAAAACCACAAAATGTTATCGCCCATATTTGTGACATCTAAACCTTGTCGATTTCGTCAACTTGTAATCACTCTATTGCAGATTAGTCGATTTTCAACTCGTGAAATTTTTGATAATTTCAACTAATCTAATGCAGCATCAACCAATCACTACGAGTATAAATAATTGTTTCATTGAAAATCAGAACATTTATTTTAAAGCATGTCTTTCATGGGTGCAGTTTTATTCCTGGAATTACTGTCAGCTGTTTGTCCAGAATTAATAAATTTTAGCTGTTTCCGCAGATTAAGAGAATTTTCGGTAATAATTCATTTGTATTAGTAGTATTGTAGTGAACAGAACTCGAGTGGGGACAATTCAATGTATTTAACACAATTTACAGGACTCGTTAATTAAATCTAACAATCATATGATAAATGCTTAATTTGCAAAATTCCACCAGTTGTCTCGAAATGACTCAGACTTCATTATTCTTGCATTTTCATACAAATTGCATCCTGTTTCCATTCCTTACTGTTCGTTCGTCAATATAAGTAGCACGTACCACAGTATCACTAGATCCTATCACGCTCCAGCAGTAATGAGTTCGATAAAGTCTTCTTTTAACTAAGTAAACCGTTTTAAACTGAACAGGCTAACTGGAACGCTAATTTGAATAGATGAATTTACTGATCCGGAACTTGATCATAATTTTACAACTCTATCTTCAGCAAATGCATGTCAGACCCGATGAACGGCAATTTTATACGTAGATTTCGCTATATTTGTACAGTTCTAGGTCATGTCAACCTACGTCTATGACTTTCTTGTGTTTGTCATAAGTAACCACAGTGATATAAAGTAGAGTTGTCTTCGACTAGTTCATCTGGCTACACGAGACTCTTATTTTCTGTATTGTATATTTTTATTGAGTAATTTGCACCTAACGTCGACCACTAGGTTATAAGATAAAAGTCTGGGTGAGCATGTTTTAAGTTATCTTAGTACGATACTGAATACTACACAAAATTGGGGACATGAAAGCACATAAAAAATCTTGATAGCAAGCTCAGTTTATGACAGCCAAACTGGCAATAACGGAAGCTTTTGAGCCTGATATATATGAGATTATTTTGTGGGAACTAAACATGATAGCTTACTTAGCGTATAAGGCAAACAATCTTTGTCACAACATCACGTGAACTCATGAAGCTGAGAGCTTGTGAAGTTGGCCTGTCGTGTTGGTGCAGTCGTGTATCGTTTATCTAAGTACTGTTCCGTGGTCAATTGTCGTGTTATAAGTCTAGGTTATATGAATGGTAGTGGGCAGCTTCTTCGCGATTACAAGTTGTCTGAGCATTTTTAACCAATGACCACTGCTATTTTCGCGAGCAATTCGTCACTCAGCCGTTGTTTTCATGAAATGTCACAAAGAAAAGACCAGGAGAAAAAACGAACCGCCTTTGGAAAGTGGACTGCAAAATATCGAATTCAAAGGAGTTTATTCCTTGTTGCTCATGTTATAGAATGTAGAAGTCTCTTTAAAACCTATATTGAGTGATTTATCATTACACATTACGAGTTTTTCATCGAACTGGTTAGTTCATCGTATGAGTTAGATATTAGTAACGTTTACTGTCATCAAACACCACACATATGGATTAAGATCGTTTTTGAATCTCTTCAAATATGGTTACGAATATAATGTTGTGTTGGGAAACTACAGGACGTCCTATGTTAGAATAATATTCTTAGAGTTAATATGTCAGAGTTTTCGTACACAACTCTAAACGACCAATAACAACAGCACAGTAAGCATAATCAAAGATTACAACTTCGACCCGCTGTGGATATTAGTTCCTTCAAAGACAACGTCGGATAAGACACCACAACTTAAGAGTATACAATATGTCAATGTGGTCTTTATTGTGATCAAAAAGCCCCTCGCTTGATGATGCTACAACTGCCGATATCTATAAACCGTTTCACTCTGAGACAAATGCATGCACTCAGATATATATAACTATCAAACTGACTAAAATTAGTCTAGCCCACTGGCTTGAATACCACCTACTAAACATTATCAAATACTCGCAATCATACTGAAATAGCAAAAAGCGATCCTAAGAAAGTAATTTATTTGTACGAGATCGTCTCAGTTCTATTGGACATTGTAATTGTTTGTCAATTCAACGTCTTGGGGTCATAAACTAAACTCGATTTAACTTTCAAGGTCGATGGGGCCGTTATCGTGTGGATGTTCTTTATTATTATACCTAGAATGGATTTATACAACACGTCTAGGAAAACCAAGCACTTCATTCTAACTGCAGCATTTTTATTGCTTTGTTTATCACCACTTGGATCCTGTTATAATGGTAAGTGGTGTTATGCGTAGTAATTTAAATACCATAGGTCTTATTGTGAATAACAAGGAAGTCCAAATTCTTGTCGACGGCATAGACAACTTTGTAAGTTGCTTTTACATTCATTTAATTTCCTAAAAGTGTCGGCTGAAAGGTTTCGAAGCTGGCCGGTAAGACTCTTTTGATAATTCAAATAATTTTAGAACTGATGATGCTTTTTCTTTGTTTTCGGGATTATCCTTTGAACCATCATTTCTGGATTTCGGTGAACAGTATGAGCGGTATATAAAATGACGTTTTTTAGACCTTTTTCTTATCCTAAACATATTGAAGTCACCATCACCAATATTGATGCTGACCAGTCGATTGATCTCGTCACTACTTTCGGAGTTTCTCAGTTCATATTTTGGTCTATATTTAACCAGACAGTTCGTTCTGTGTTTTCCTAATGTTCCATACTTTAGGCGCTTTCCCTGCCTCATCTGCCAGTTTTAATGTAACATTTTTACCCTATACTGTTGGTGATTTTGAAACTTCCATATATATTCAGACGTCATTAGGTGTTGCAAAATATCAGGTTTATTTCAATTAGTGATTTTCTAGTATTAAGGTATTCGGATCCAGCTACATCAGTGACGATTATTTGATACCTCTTGTCAACCTCGAATCTCTGGATGAAGGAAAAAAGTCATTCGAATTAGAACTAGTCAACCCTTTATCCTGTTCTGTAAAGGTAAGATATTTCTATCTGAATACCTCTCATTTTGAAGTACGGTTATCTTTTCCACGACTTTTATTGCTACGCTACCATTGACCTTATTAGTTTTCTTGAAAACGATGTCAGTAGTATGTGCCTATTAATTAAGCATCTGTGCCGTTCTCTGGCTACCTTTAGATAAAGCAAGCATGTTTCTATTTTAAATATTTTGTTGCTCAGTGAACGTTGTCAGGAGGTCTACAACTGCTCACGCTTCTCGAACTGATCATCTGCCCTTTGACAATGTATTTTATGTACTATTTCATAATGAGTTGCTTTCCACACTTTGCTCATTATTTTCATTCAGTTGAAAAGGAGTGTTTTATATTTAACAAGTGCCTTTTTTTATTCGTTATCGGCAGTTTTCCACCGTTTTAACATGTTTTACCAGCCTCAAGAATAAAAGCGGTTAGGGGCTGACAACATATTCCACTAGTGGTAGTTGTGCCCGTAAATGTGATGAAAATCGACCTAGGTCACTGTTGTTTGTTTGCGTACTGTATTAACAAGCTTCACGTCGAGAATGCCGTGTATAAAACCACCATGTTACCGTGGTTTATAATTGCATATATGTCTTTCACTGACCTTTTTATCCAGTAACGTTATATACTCCACAATAGTTATCTTAAAATCATTACCAGTGGCGTATTTTATGTACCTTTTAAATTGCCTGCATAGGCCACTGAAGTTTGTAAAGAATCCGCTGTGATAGAAATATTTAGTAAGGTATGTAAAAATGTTGAAACGTTCACCCACCCCATCCACAGTTGGTAGACTTTTTTTGGATAAAATCCATCTAGGTTGATGGACAGTTCATTCAGGATTTATGCTATAGACGTAAGGAGTTTACTAAATAAGTGTTCACTCAAATGAATCTGTGACTACTACCTAGAAGGATCTGTAAGGCTGTTGATGTAGTAATTAGATTTTAGCCGACCCAATTCTAGGTGTTTTAATCCCACAAGTCTTCTGTATTTATTGAGCCTACTAATTTTAATATTTTTAAATAAGATGTTTTGGTAACTATTGCTTCAGGTTGACAATCTGAGAGTATTTCCTGGTGAACTTCTTACGGACTATTGCAGCTATTCCCAAGTCACATCGAATTCGACTAGCATAAATGATCTAACTGATAATTATGCATTTGAACCCATACTACTTCATTCTTACGAGAAAAAAAGTTTATTGAAAGCAACTATTGATGCGGATGACGTAAAATTGATCCAAATTTCAAGTTTACTTTGGGAGTTTGATCATCACCGCAAACCTGATCAAATATTTTCTGGAGGTTCAACTAACGATATGGGTTTCTTGAGCCCAGCAAATAAATTTTCGAAGTTACCAGCTGCATTGATTTCAATCAATGAATTTCCCAATCAAGGTAATCAAAACTTTGGTAACAGGACTTAACTGTTTCTAGTTTCCATGGTTATTTTAACGTGCATATGGTAAATTCCAAGCATCCTGGTTGATCGTTTACAAAAATTTTCATTTATGAAGTTGTATGTTATATCCATTTCAAGTCATCGATCGGTCAACAAAACAACATCGTAGTAAATGTGATGTACCCATAGAGCATGCTTAATAGGTGGAAATTCACATAGCATTTTCACAATAATGTGTATGAATAAATACGTCATACTCTTTGAATATTTTGGTTCACACTTAGCTCAACTTTGTTTTGTGATGTTGTACTTATAATCTAGGCAACTCTGTTTTTAGTCTTACGTTTCTTCCGCTTCTGATTTATTTAGGCTAAAATCTTGTTCCTTAGTGATCGTGTTTTATCAAAATAAATCATTTTTGGTCCAATATCTTTTAAATAAAGTCATTGATTACCATTATTCAATTTACTGGACTTTTAATAAGTACATTTAAAAATAAACAACCTTCTGGTACCTTGAAATAATTTTAAGTAACAGCAACTTAGCTATCATCAGTATAATAATATCTAGTCCATTTGTTTATTTACTGAGGATTCGTTTAGTGCTAACGTAGAATGTTAGGTTAGGAGTCAAAACAATCAGCACACAAATAATTGGTTCCACACTTATACCCCACTTCACCTACTTTAATTTTAACAACCAAGCAGCACCACTGACTTGTATAAAGTATAACTTAAAACCAAGTTCATAAGCACTTACTTGATTACTGCTTTAAAATTACTAGTATTTCTATTAGTGTTGTTATCAGTTATGTTGAGAACTCATTGAAAGAGCCAAAATTTGATAGGAATAGACCTTGTAGTCGTTCATTATTAAAACAGCTATTGGGTTAATTCGTTTGAAAATGCTTTTGCACCAAATTTGATTACTCCAAATACTTATTTCTTGCTTAAACGTTTAGGTCCATTGTTATGATTGCTTCTGGTAGGCTTTCTTTTCATTCATACTTCCATACTGTTGCATCACAATAGATATTTTTTATTTGTTTCTTTTTGTGTATAGTTCTGTACTCACGTGTCAGCCTTCTGTATCTTGGTGTTATCAACAGTCCATCTGATTCCATTTCTAAACCAATAGAAGTTTTATTTCTCGGTAATCAGCTACTTGAAGTCACAGTAAGTCCGTTTGCATGTTTATTTCCACATCACACAGTCGTATTATGACGTTTTATTACTCTGAATAAAAACTTTAATACTATGGTTATTCGTTCTAGTAGCTTGTCAAACTACATCATTGTTATCATCAAAGTCTTCTTTAATTTATTTAGATGTGTCAGTATTGTAAAACTTGTCTTTGTTGTGTTAAAAATTTTTAGTGCATCATAACTTCCTATTTAAAATCCAGAGCTGTGCGGGCTGCAGACAAACTCAACATTTTCGAGTCATCTAAGTGTACCGCAGTCAGTAATTACGGTTACATTTTCCTTTATTTAGTTACTCACTGGTAGATGTTTTGGAATAATTTCCATTACAGAGTTATTTAGAGGCATAAATTTTGCTATTTCGTAGGTTTTCTTTCACCATGACTGACTGCGCTACACTCAGCACCTCCGTTGAATGACAGAGTGGCATTTTTGTCGTATAAAATTTACCTTTTTTTATGTAAACCAGCAAAAACGACAGAAAACGAAATACGTCCTTCATCATGGACTGCAATAAATTAAATAACCATCCCCGCTTCATTTTGGTTGGGCGCCAGACACAAGGTCGAAATTGCGAGCGTGAGTGTAGTCTAACTTTCATTTCTGTGCGGCTGCGTGACTTGATAATTCACCAGATATGGTACATAGTCAAAGGTAATTATCATCCGGCTTCAGTTTTTCTTTGAGATTCGTATTTTCATGAGTATAAACTAAACCACTGTTTGACGCCCTTGTCATCTACGAGAAGTTGGCTTGAAATACTCAGTGTAAAAATGGTAAATTACGAGAAAAAGCAGTCCCTGATTATTTTGTCCCTTACCACTTGGCTTCAACTGATGTAATAACACTATCTAAAATAAATCATTTTGTCTTCTGGATACAAAATGGCCTGTAAGAAGTTAATGGGGAATGAACGGTTTCATGTTTGGTGGCTCATACTGTTTTCTTCAGGTCCTACCATATCAGGCAATCTGTGTGAAGAGCAGTAAAACTCAAAACGAGAGTTCATAGTCTTAGAGCAGTCGTACTGCCAATTGTATAGGGATGCAACGGCAGTAAGGTTTTTCCCTTTACCAGCCAGTATCTGCAGTCATGTTTCTTCACGACGGAAAGATGGTGTTAAAAGTAGGTTGGCCCTAAAAAGGCACACCCCACCTTGTTCTACGAATTTCACCACTGACAGCAAAGTATTGGAAGTATAAGAATAATGCATCAAAAACTACTTACACAATAGCCATATGTATCCGGTCTCGAATAATTGTCCCCTGTATGTTACCTTCGCGCTTCTAGGTCATCAAGACCATCCCTAACCCGGTTCGTCTCTAGGTACCCCAATAAAAAGTATCTTCCTGGGCCGTGGACAACCGAGAAGTGACAACCGCCTTTGTATTGATAATAACGACCCACTTCGCTCTGTTCACAACTGTTTCCCCACTATGTATATAAGAGTTTATGTATACTACAAACTACTGCATAATAAAATTATGGTACGCTGTCACTTGAATTAGATCAACAATGAAACGATACATCTATCATAGAAATTCGTAGCTCTGTCAAGTAAACGACAAATAAACATGCGAAATCGAAAACCCTCGTAATATTCCATTAATAATAATAATACCTAGTCTACATAAGAATCTACTAATCAAAACACTTATTCTACACAGAATTCGGTTTGATCAAGCGAGCAATGCGTTATTAAGACTTAGAAGGTTTTAGAAAATGAGTTTATAAAGTTATTTTCCCACATTGGCAACTTTTATTGAACCATGAACTAGTTATAAAAAGCTTGTGATATTCCTGGTGTCTGATTTTGACTGTATTTTGACATAAAATTGTATTGACGATTCATCTTTCTAGAGTTAATCTATTCTGATTTCTTAACTATGCTGTTGAATATACTAGAAATCAATCGCTGGAACCTATAAATGTAATAGCTTATTAATGAACATAATTTTTGTGATGTTTTCTTTTAAATCCTAAACATTTTAATAATTTGCTTATGTAGAATGATAAATATCATTGACTTTGTACATTTTAATGTTGATTGTCAAGAAGGTATCTTGTCAGTATCATGACTTTTTATGCAGTTTTAAAAATAGTTTTGTATTTATACTGAAGCTTTGTATTATAACAAAAATACTAAAAAAAAATAAGTTCTCTCAAAGTTTTCATTAATTTTTTCTAGTGACTCTTAAATTAACAACAACAAAAAAGTTCATCCTTGTGATATCAGTAAAGAATTTAAAAGTCTATTTTTCTATTAATCACTAATATATCAAGGGCAATATTTTAATATTGGAATTAGAGTTTTTTTTAATGAATTAGCATACCAATGATTAATTGAAATAGTGATTTTTTTCTTCAAAGTATATTCTTTATTATTCAAATTATAAATAAACAACGAAATCTCAAAATGTCTTTAATAAGTATTGATTAGAAAAAAAAAAGAAGAAAACTGTGGTTACCTATTTCATTTATAATGTAGATCATTAATAAATTTCTTTATTTTATACTTTCCAATTATGAAATCATAAGTATAAGTTGCTTTTCTTATCACTTCATTCTTTATACATTTTCATCTTATATTATTTCATTCAATTTTTAACTTCCATTTTGGTTTACGAATTATTCATAAACTATAAGTCGTTTTAATTTCTTATCATAAATATCTTATTGTCAATGTGATAGATTATTCTAATCACTGTATGTTATCATTTTATCCATGACTTATTATACAATATAACTTTAATCTATCATTAAGATGATATAAAATCCTAAATCAAATTGTTTTCATCAAGAATCATATATGAATAATCTAAATGAGTTAAAATATGTTTCTTTGTTTGTTTGTTTTTATGATTATTTTCTCAATATATTAATGAAGTACAACTATTTCATGCATTTTTAGTTAAAAACAATGTGAACGTTGATATTATATAAGTCCTCATGAAGAACTACATTTTACAAGTTAATATGTTAAAATAGAGTAAAGTTGGATACCTTGAAATTATTTATTTATTTAGTTTTGTTTTTGTTTTTGTTTTTTTTAAAAAAAAGAAAGAAAAATAGTCCTAGTTATGTTATGATTGATAAGAACTAAAAACTTTGCCTATTCTTATCAAAGTATGAAAAATAAAATAAATAGATTTTATCAGCTTCAATAGACTTTTTATTTTTTTAAATTTATTTCTAAGCTAAATTTTTTTTCAGATGAATTTCACAACAGATTATTTGGCTATGTATTTATAATTACTGGTAAAAGTAATACATACAGAAATAAGTACACTTTAATTATGTAAATCATCAATATGAAACAATTCATTTGATGATGATTGTATTGCAACTTTTGAGGAAAAATATGAAATTAAAGCATTTAAACAATATATTAAATATATGGAATCATTTAATGACACTAATCTTAATCTACTGTAAGAAAAGTCAAGTGAATATTTGTAAAAAAAAACAAACAGAGTCAAATCAAAGAACATAGGTTGATTGGTGTATTACTATTAGTCAGGGTAGTTATGATAATTAAGTGTCAAGATTATAATATAAGTATCACTAATTAGTAGTAGTAGTTGTAGTATCAGTATCCAGCTGATACTATTCAGCAGTTGAAAGTAGTATATCTTTACACCTATTGAATAATTCTATCATCTTATTAGATATTATTTTTGTACAGCTAATATAAATGATGTAAGTGTCACTATATATTATTAATCTATTTTTCAAATCAAGTCATTGTAGCTCATATGTCTTCTTTTTTTCCTCGATTCTGTTTTTCTCTTCAGCATAACTTTTTCTTGAATGCATTATTTTATATTTTTGTAAATAAAATGTACTATTATGTTGTTTTGGTGTGTAGCATTTTAATTTATTCTCATATTCCTTAATTAAATCATGTTTTGTGTCAGGTTGAATTAAGTAATTTAAAATGTATAATTCTTCCAGTCATACACCATGTAAAATACACTCACGTATGTACAACTCAAGTACTTTTCAAAGAAGAAACTGAACTTTCAAGGTTCGAGCAGACACATACACATGTACACGAGGAATATTCAAATGGGATAAAATTTATATCATGAGTTTTGCTGTGTTGTATGAAAATATATAGGGCATGTTTAACAATGTCATATTATTAAGAAATATTTTGTGTGACGAGATCTCAAAATGTTTAGAATTACAAACGAATAATTGGATAATTTTAAAACCTTATGGTTGAGATTGTTATCAAGCTAATACATATTGGTGATTTTTCGAATGTAGTTATCAATTACTTACTTAAGCCCATTACTCCTCTCGGAACACTGACCAATGATCTCCAAGAAACTCTGTTCTGGGCTCTCCTTTCCAGTTCTTGCCAAATGCTACTCATTGTCTTGACGTCTGCTTCCAGTTCTCCGTACCACATATCCCCTTATCAGCCTTTTTTTTTTACCTTGCTGGTTTCAAGTTGAGGGATGTCTTGTGATGCAGTTTGGTGATTTTTGAAAGTGTGTCCCATTCATCTCCAATATATTTTACTAATTTACGTCTCATCTAGAAGTTGATTTATTCTCTGACAGGGTATATTACTGCTAATGGATTCGGAGTATTTTGCGTAAATAACTGTTTATAAATACCTGTACTTATTTGTAGATTGTGGTGATTGTCTATAAAGAGATATTTTAACGTTTATGTTAAAAATTCTGACTTTTGTTGTTGGCTGACAGAACTTCTGAGTCCAAATATTGTTCGATTGTAAGAATATTGCCCTTCCTTTGCTAATTCATACCTTCACATCTTCACTAGATGCCTCCTATTTGTCAATGATTTGGTTGATGCTTATTATGTTTTACTTCAAGATCTTAATTTCTGCCTTGTTAATGTTGAAGCCTATTTCTGCAGAAGACATTACCACACTGGCGGTCTTTACTCGCGTGTATGTGATAAAAGGACCAAATTATCGCCAAAGTCTGAGTCGCTTAGTTGTGTCCAAGGTGTCCATTGTATTCCATTTCTTTTTTGAGATGTGGAAGTCTTCATAATACAGTCAACAACCAGAAGGAGGAAAGGCATCATTAAGCAGCCTTATCTAACACCAGTCTTCACCTACAATATATTTGTGAGCTGCTCCCTATGCATGACTTTGAAATTCAGTCTCTTACATGAGTTCCGTATGATAGTGACAATGTTCTCATACTTTATGGTGTCATAGGAGAGACTCCACAAGTGCCAATAGATTTATACTGCGTTATTTTTGGTAAACAAGTTAAACGTTTTAGTACAGTATAACTGTGTTTTTGAATATTTTCAGGTTATTACTGAAGTGATTGTTATAAATAGTTCAGCTTTTCAACTTGATCAATTTATTCGACTTTTTTTCAAATAAAAATTAGCTTTCCGACTTTATCCAAAGGTTTTTTCAATGTTGTTTTAATCTAGTGTAATTTCTGACAAATTAAAAAGGAACAAACAGCATTCCTTCTTTATTCACTTATGAGACATTTTTTCTGTAGAATACTAACTCAGTGTAAACATGGATATGCGGATATCATCACTTGTTTGTTTGTTTTTTCTATTAATCCTATATCATATCAACGTTGTTGTTCAACAGATGATAATCATAAAATTCTATAAAACTAAATAAATTCTTATAATCTCAATACAAATCGCTTATTAATAAGGTAGTGTAATCAGTCATCAGTTTAGTCACTAATAGAAATGACTATTTGGTAACTACAGTTCATGTATAGAGTTTTAGAATGGTTTCAAATAAGATATATGTGTCAGTAATAATGATAGTAGAGAAATATTAAATTTGCCTTGTTTCTAATTTATTAAGCATTATCATCATCATCATCATATCACTATGCTTATGAGTAACAATAAACAATTATTTATGTGAAATTTTTCTGTTTTCCTTATTTAGTTTTGTTAAACTGGTTAGTAATATTAATTGTTATTATTATAATTTATTACTAAATTAATATTTATTTATAAATTGAGGTCAATTAGTGTTTTTCTTTTTATTAGTGCGAAGTTTTCTAAATATTAGTGCCATAATGTCCCAGTGTAATTTTAATTTTATCAAGACAAAACTAATATTTATATCTTTTATTTGTTGGCATATATCACGTGGATATTTAGAATTAGATTATTATTATTATTATCATTATATGCACTCTATATAATCTTGATATCCTTAAATAATTAAACTCATTATATACATATAAACAGCTTCGCCTCTTAACTTTAACAACGGAATCAGTAATTTTAATTGACTTTAAATTCTTAAATAAACTTAAGATATTACTGTATTCTTATTAATAATGTTAGATGTTTTTACACTAACCAATAGCTGGTTAATAATTAATTTGATGATTAACTGTTTAGGTTGTGACAAGAATCCCTGAACTCAATTTTTTCAGTTTGTACAGTTGGTCATCAAATTAATTGACTCAACATTGTTAAATACTTCATTAGATGTAGGCTCAATTTTCACATGTTGAGATTTATCAGGCAAATATGTTTTCAACCTTTTTGAGGCTTACTGCTCATAACATAAAATTTAGGTAGAAAGGTTTCTAATAATTCCCTTAAACTATTTAAGACATACATGATTTAATCATAAACTGATTCAAGTTTAAAAACTTCCAGGAGCATAGAACTGATGTCTCTCTTTGTAGTAAATAATTTATTTTTAATGTTAGTTTGATTTTGCTATCTTCTTTTCACAGACATATCATTAGCGTTAAATTGCTTGATCAAAATACAATTACTATTGCATTATTCTAATTTGAAATTGTGAAGTTAGGTACTACGGGAATATTCAAATTAGTCAAAATAACACAAAGACCGACGGTTAGGAAAAAAAATACTAGAAACAACGTTAATAAATTTCTGTTGTTATTTTATCAAACCTTGACGACTCATAAAAATAATGAAATTATCCAAAATAAATAAATCGATTAACGTAAATTTCGTGAAATCTTTTTCTCTATGACAACAATCTCTTTGTTTCTATCTTTTAACCCCTAAATGAAAAAAACACTTACCTCCAGTTGACATGGTGTATACTGTGTAAATATAATCTATTTTTTTCAATAAATTAAAATATTTTAAGAAAGAGGATGTTTATTGTACACTGAACCAATAGTTATCTAATTTTTATCTATCGATAGTATCATACTCGCATCCATCATAAAAATTTAATCTAAATAGTTGTTTGTTCTTTTTTTTCTAATTTTAGAGTATTGAAGCCAATATCTATGATGAAGCTTTATCAATTAATATTACAGAAAAATTTATTGCACCGCGTACTACGATTCCAAAAACTATTGCCATTGTAACACTTTCATGTAAGTATAATATTCTGTTTAATATTTAATGAATCAAATTGACTATTTGAATATTTCTCTACAAATTTCTGTACTGGTAATAATCATGCACTTAGTTTTGACTTATTTTGAAAGGTTAAGTACTCATCTTAAGACCTGAAGATTCTGAGTTCGGTCGTAGGAAGTGTAGCGGATGGCTACTGCTAAGTATTTCCATACTAGGAAGGGATATCTGTTCAGTGTTTAATAGTCCTCAATATTTATTTAACTAATATCGTTCCGTAATGTAAACTATAATATTTCTTGTGTGATGTTAAAATTCATTGGTTTTATGTGTCACTATTAGTTATAATATACAAAAATTATCTGGGTTCCCTTCAGTGAACTTGTCGTTCATTTGTTGCTATTATTACATATGGTCTTAATGGGACTGATACACCCCCTGAGATTTGAATACGTGTCACTCAACTTCACAGTCTAAGAGGTTGCCACCGGTATATTTGGCCCTTCAGTGGCCTAATATATTTGTTTTTACTAGTGTACATATTTTTTTCTTAATAATCTCCTGGTAGTTAGTATTTTCATCCTTTAGAATTTGTCTATATTATGCACAAATATCTGTGTAAATATCATATCTTTTCGTTTAATGCATAATACATATGTATGGATAATATCTTTCCAATACAAAACTTTTCCTCAGAATACTATTTCTCTCCCATACACCCGTCGTACCTAAGAAAACGAATAATATTTTACTTTTTATCAAGCTTCTGTGTTGCTTAATTGTTTGAGAAAACTTTGGAATACATTCATTTAGGGTTTTGTTTTTTTGTCATTTTAATCACCCGAAAACATATTGCTAATTATTAGAGTCCACAAACAACAATATTTTATTAGTGTATTAGTAAAGTCGAATCGTGGTTAGCAATAGAATCCACGTTATCTCTCGTCTCAATTTACGGTGCTCATCAGCTGCATGAATCACTCGTCATAAATTCCACTAATAGCCACAATCTAAATTTACTGAAAACTTGTAACTAAGGGCACTATTGAGGTAATCGGCTCCAAAAAAGCATATATCAATGAAAACTGGTCGACTGCATCCTTTAATTTTAACGACAAAAAGCTCACACCCTTATGTTCATAACTTTATATCCGTCGAATAAGTGAGTAGCCATCTAGATTCAGTAGATTATCTGGTAACACTTCGTTTAAAGCGATATGCACTGGATTTTAGCCTCTATGAGCATCAACCCTGGGATATAGGTACTATTAACTGACGAACCCCACATAGGATAAAACAGGCGTCTTGGCTTTCACTGCTAAGCGTATATGAAATATACGCTAAAACCTTGCGACTCAAGTCACTATTAAGACAATCCTCTCAGGATGCTCATGTCGATAGAGGTTAATATTATGTAGTCTCTAAGATCAATAATTTATAAACTAAACTCCTTAGGTGTATATCTTATTAGTGCAGTTGGAAATATAAATCATCATTTCAATAATAATCTATGGATTATATATTCCATGGTATAAATATCTACATATCATAATGGAATAATACACCGATGATGACAAAATTGTTTTTTATGCAACTTGAGTAATTTGTCAATATTAGATGACAATGAACAAAAATCATGCTGTGAAATGTCAATGATCATCAGTGTAGATGTATACATATATAGTTGTTATTGTATAAATGAAAATTCTAATAGTTTTTAATAAAAAATTTTTTTGAAGTGGTTTATTCAAACAAGCAAATTTTTGACAGATATAAATTTTAGCATGGCTCCATGAACTTGTCAAAATATTAGCAATATGCATACGAAATAATTATAGTATTGAGTAGTGAATTATTTCCGTACGATATACTTCCAGTAGGATTTTATTGTCACAAATCAAGTCTTGCTGACAATACTATTTATTAACAATATCCACTACATAGTAAAGATATGTACAACATTACATTTGGGATGCCTTTCGTCAGTGTGAATTATAAAAATAGTCACTAATTAACTATTTCTTATAAGTTTACTCTTATTTAGTTGTCATTCTACTCATCATTCATTGTTCATCCTAAGAAGGTGATGAGCAATTCCATTGTACAAATAGATCAACGAACTACATATTAGTTAGTATCAGTAGTGTCTATAGTAAGGTAAAAATGCTAAGTTTGGGGAAATTATCTTGATTTGCCTGACAGAACTCCATGTTTGAAAACTTTCCTATCAATTGAATTCAGAAAGAAAATATATTATTATAAGATTTGAAAAAAATCAACTTTTCTTGTCGACTGTTTTTTAAGGTTATTATTATTTGTTTAGCTTTCACTAGGATTAGACTTTTCCCCCTTCTTGTGTTTATCTGACGATTATTCATAAATTGATCTGTGTGTTGTAAATCTCAATCATTAGATAATTCTAGTTATCAACCTTTTTCATTCATTTTATGAGATTCAGCTAAATATTTAAAAATCTGACATCTTTCTTTTGTTTGTTTCCTCTCTTGGATGTTTTTCAAAATAACCCGATACTCTTAATTAAATCTCAAGATTATTTTAATGATTCGTAAAACATATTCCAGAAAGGTTTAGGTCAAACTGATTAAAGGCTTTCAGTTGTTTTATTTTAAGACATCTCTTTGATACAGGACATCAAGTTTTCACATTTAAATCTATCATGGTGATTAATAGACAATCAAAATTTAGCCTTTTTAAATTTGATGAATTCGTATTCGTTAAATATTCAGATTTCCACTTTTAATTAAATTCACTGATATAAGTACGCTAGTTCTTATGTACAATTTTAATTTGAAATTATTACAACATATAAGCAGCTGGCGAGAACTTAGCGAAATTACATAAACTCACTCAATTCCGTTCAAATCTTTGTCGTTTCCATCATCATGATAATAAAAAGAACTATGTGTAAGAAATTTTACTGTAACTCTAAACAACTATAGGTTCAAGTATTTGGATTCGAACCACTTTAATTATGCACGCGTTAGTGATACTATCCAATTTTCTAAACCAATATAGGTGGAATAAGTTTCGGAATTGTGACCTACTAATTCAAATTCGACTGCAGTCATCGTTAAATCACGCTTTCAGCTACTTAAATTTATAATGATTTTGGTCCGACTAGTTAACACAATATTCGTACATTATTCAATCCACACAGGCGAGTTGAAAAACCCTGATTCTAAACCGGTTATGTATGTGGGATATAAAATCCTAAGGAAAAAATGACGTAAAAATTTATCCTGGCCAATGCCAACCATGGGACTCTATTTTCTGACGTTCCCTTGCTGAACTAAACCTTGAAATTATAGGCTCAAGCTGTGATCTCTTAAATAGGGCACCTGTTTCAATTTGGGAGTCCAGGGAATATCTAGGGATACTTACAACATTACATTACACACTTACAAACACAACGATTTACAACAGTCACTTACGTTATCAGAATATGTTCAGTTTACTTTTCATAAGTTAATTTGTTTTGAAAAGGTTCCTCAAAACATAATTATTTAACTATTCAACATAGTGAATAAAATGTTTATTTTAGAAAAATAAATTGCGTATACCAAAATGTAAGAAATATAGTAAGAGAGAGGGAGTGTGATTAAATTTTATATAAAACCTTCATTCAAAACGTTTATTCTGGTCAGCGTTTTTTAATAAGGTTGTTTCCTACGGAGTAGGGTTACTGACCCCATGCCCAACCTTCTTCTTTTTCTTGGGTTTGGGACCGGCAGTAACCGTACGAGAGCTACAGGTGCAATACAATCAACAGCTTGCGTGCAACTGCACGATTTGAACTTCACAGATGACCTGACCCTTCTGTCACATACAAGCCAACAAATGCAGATCAAGACAAACAGTGTGGCAGAAGTCTCTGCAGCAGTAGGTCTCAACATACACAAGGGAAGAATCAAAATCCTCAAATGCAAACACATAGAAAACCAACACAATCACCCTTGATGGAGAAACTCTGAAAGAGGTGGAAACTTTCACGTAGCTGGTCGGCAGCATCATCGATGTACAAGGAGAATGTGATACAGACGTAAAGGCGAGGATTGGCAAAGCAAGAACAGCATTCCCACAGTTGAAGAATATATGAAACTCAAAGCAACTGTCAACCAACATCAAAGTAAGAATTTTAATACAAACGTCAAGAGATTTCTACTGTATGGAGCTGCAACGGTGAGAACTATTACAACCATCATCAAAATAGTACAAGTATTTATAAACAATTGTCAGCTCAAGATACTCAGTGTCCATTGGCTGGATACCATCATCAACAGCCTGATGTAGAAGAGAACAAATTAGCTTCCAACTGATAAAGAAATTTAGAGAAGACGTTGGAAGTGGATAGGACATACATTACGGAAATCACAAGGGAAGCCCTAAATTGGACTCTTCAAGGGAAACGGAAATGAGGAAGACCAAAAAAACACTATACCGGGAATTGGAAGCAGGAATAAAAAGGATGAATAGCAACTGGAAATGATTGTCTATGAAAAAGTTGAATGGTGAATGCAGGTGTGCGGCCTATGCTCCTCCATTAGGGTTAACAGACGTAAGTTAGTAAGTTTTATTCAGATGTCATTTTTATGGCTACTATCGTTGTTCCTGTTCTGTTGTTATTTTTGTCAAGAAAACAATAAATGAAATATTTTTATTTATTGAATAATAAAAGTAGTTAGTATAAATGAAATTCACTAATGAATTTCACTTCATTAAGTTTGCTATTTCTATACTTTAGATTAAAAAACATTTATATAAAAATAGTGTTTTGTTATAACGACCATCTTATAATAAATAGTTCATGAAATGGATCACTACCATCATCATTTCTATGAGCACTGTAAATCGTTTGATTGACAGTACAACAAAAACAATAGAATATACATATATACATAAAAGGTTTTGCTGTTATAAATCTAAATAAGATACAACGATCTCCATGGAATGTTGTTTTCTGTATACAGTCATTGTTCTGATTACTGTTTTCTTTGTTTTGTTATTAGAATGGTGTGTTTTACATAATGCCAATCAGTTGCATGCACAGCGACTTCAGTTTTTTTTTAGAAAAAGAAAGGCAAAATGTTTTCTTCTGTAGATAAAATATGCATGAGTTATCTCTGCCATGATAAGTATTTCTATAATATACTGATATTAATGAAACTTGTCGTTGGTAATTATGTTAAATAATAATCGTTTTGTTGCAATTCACAATTTTTGTAGGTTATGCTTTTATTGATTGATTTCATTTGGGTACGGCTGAAGACCAGAGAGCACTAGACAGCTATTTTGTCGTAGCACAAGACTTGTTAGGAGTGGCCACCTACGAATCCAACAGGGATTGGACTTAAAACCTGCAGACCCCTCAGTGAACTCTTAGCTATAGGAAATATTGAGTCGGCGTCTAATCACACTTTAACTGAACTCGATCCGTGAAAAATATGAATTCAAATTAAACCAAACTCTAAAAATCCCCTAAAACTAAATTAGTAAATTTTGGATAGCTGTATACATGTACATATACTTCTAAGATAGTTGCTATTGATGAGATGATTTGTGAATGTGTGATTAATATAAGCTTAAAGAGATGCATATTTATTAAGCGAGCGTTCTGAAACAGCACTTAATTGTTTTGTTCTACTCCTAAAGCTATTTAACTCTATACGCCTTAGAACGAATATAAAATGAAATTCACACATTGTGGAAAGCAAGTTATTAAGTGCCTATTTAATCGTAATTCAACGTTTTACACTTAATTTTAATGAATTCGAAATATGGTTTAATTCCCATTCAACCACTAGTTTCCTTTTTATTACTCTTCACCTGATACCAGTACTTTATTGACAACATTCACAAAACATGTTGTATAATAATGTTAGTTGGAGGTAATCGTTAGAAAACGCTGTACTTAGATTTTGTTCTGGTTCGCACTATTTGGTAAGGCGTACTTGCAATTATGTAGTAGCAACGTACTTGCTCAATAATAACTCTTCTTAATCTTTGATATTAGCCAAATGTGAACTGATTGCGGAAATTCATTGGTTTTATGCTATAAATTAAATAAAGTAGAGAAATTCAAATTACTGAATTCCAAACTCAAAAATTAGTCCAGGAATTTGATGTATTTATTACTCAGATTTCCTATTTAAGCTCTGATAAAAAGTTAATCATGAAAACTTTTGAAAATTTCCAAATCTAAAGGAATCAGCTACCTAGTAGTATCCATTAATTTCTAATTCCTCTTCACTTGGCAGTGTAATTTATTGGTATTTGTTATAACTTGGCCGCCGATTAGAGAGCAGTAACTTATCGATCGGATCAATGACGCATAAACCCGTATGAGCAGCTTAGAGTTCTGATCGGCCCTGCTATCCGCCTATCCTAGCCAGATAAGTCCAGAACACAAGTTTTAGCCTCTGCGATATGAATCATGTATTTCAAACATACTCTGTTTATATACCAGTCAAACAGATGACAACGTACCATAAAATAGAAAATAACATTTGTACAATATTTGGCCAACAGGAAAATGACACGTGAAATAAATATTGACCAATAGGAAAATGATACCATTTCAAGTTCAAGGATAGCATTAGACTTAACAGGATAATTTTGGGGATATTTTTCTGAATATCCCAATAGGATTCTTCTTTAAATACTACAAATTAATACTAGTTGGGTACCTCTGAAATTCAATTAACAATGTACAAAGATTTTTATGTTGAACTGTTCAGAAGGTATTGTATTTTATAATTCTAGAGGTACTTTAGCAACTATAAGTTTGTATTGAAATTTTTCACTGAATTATCAAAGCTCATTAAAAAGAAAATGAAAAACTAATTGAAATTATAAACAAACAAACAATAAACAATTGTTGATGAGAAAAAAACTTTTCGAGTTATTAAAATCTACATAATTAACTACACTGTAGATTTCAGCATGTTCATTGAAGAAATTAAGGTGAAATAAACTTATGACCTGAATTGAATTAAGTTGAAATTTACTAGTCATTCTATGAAAACTTATTTGCTTAATACTAACGTAATTACTATGTGGCACAAATTTCTCATTTCATTTTAGCAATTAATATTGAAATATCATAACTGAACAATACCAACCTTAAATAAAATTAATATCTACTTCTTTCTAATTTACTTACAGTAAAACTTAAAGTGTTGTGTTTTTATCGATGAAAGTTTTTGTGTTTTCTTTCAAAAACTTACAATTTTTTTAAAGTAGCTATCTGTTAAATACTTATTTACTACTTCGTCAAAATTCATTTCAAGCAAACATAATTTCATCAGGTTAAAACGCCAGTCTATATCACTATTCGTCTTTGAAAAAGATAAATTATATATTGAATTTGGTATATATATATATATATATATATATATATATATATATATTCAAAAGAAAACATCACTAGGCGGTTATGAACATATTCACGTGGCTCACTTGGATGATATAAATTAAGATTAATGCAATCTGGAAATTGTTTTCGACATATCGCCTGAAAAAAATCACCATTGTCAACATGTATACTGGGTGTTTCGTTCTTATTCAAAACTCTACAGTAGCTCACACTGACGACTTCAAACTAAGGATCTAGTTAAAGACATTCAGATCTCTCCTAGTCGAAAGGTTCATATTTTCCTTTAAAAATTCACAGATATATCACGTAATTTGTTTAACATTGTTCTAAAAAAATGTAATTTTCGAGTAAGTTATTATTTTCTCATCCTCAAGTGATTTTACAATAAATTAATTAAATCTTGCTTTTTTTAAAAAACAATTTGTTTAAAATTTCTTGTTTCTGTTTACATATTTTCAGCGGCACATTTATCTTACAGTTATTATTTATCTGGTATAATTACTGTATTCACCAATGACAAATCTATTTATTTACGTATACCTTTCTTTGGTCGACTTGTTCATGGGTAAGTGAAATTTACATTTACTTATTATAATAGTAATTTAAATATTACTGTGATCGGCTAATTTATACAGAACTCAGCTTCTCTGAATTTTTCATTATTCTTCTTGCTAATATTATTATTGTTGTTATTATTATTATTATCGTCTCTATTGTTACTATTATTATTATTATTATTATTATTACCATTCTTTAAATGTAGTGTTGTTGGTTTTCATTAGTCCGTTTGTTCATTGGTATCGATTTATGGTGAGGTATTTTAATCGCGATAAATTTTAACATTGACCTTATCAGTTTAAGGACAGTTAAATGAATGGTCTCTGAGTCGAGTATAGAATATTGTTTTGGGTTGTATTGATTAGTGACATACTATACGCACTGTATTTTATTTATTTTCTGCTTATCATATACAATAATATGGAGTTACAACAATTAAAATTTTATAATACCCTACATGAACTGTACACTGATGAATTGTACCTATTGTTATTGTTTAGCAGGTCATTGATGTTGTACACTGTAATTTGTTCTACATTTTAATGGAACAAGCAATATTTTCCCTAGTTCTGAAATAGTTTAAAGGTGTTGTAGTTGATGACATGTTGTTAAAACAAATGAGACAGTGCATAAGTTCCAATTAACAGATGTAATCTTTGTAAATACACTGCTGCTAGATCTAATAACGTGAAGTAGTGTGTTCTTTAGTGTATGTGGAGTTTTTTCATTATTCTATATTTCTATCTGTTTGGAAAATTTTCGATATCAGAACTTTAGTCCATGGAGTGAACACTAAATTTTCAAATAAGTTTGATATTTATTAGTAAAGGTTTACATTTTCCCGTTGTTTATGCTAAGAACTGCAATTGATCACTTTCCATTGGTGTGTGTGCATTGTAAACGGATCACCTCAATATTGTCCCTTGGTGAAAAACTTTTGTTAAAGCCAGTGGCTAGCACTGGAATGCAGGACTTATATTTCAACTTACTTAGGACTTTTTTAGCTGAGTATACCTGCATCTCAATATGAATGTTCACATTGAGACTCGAGCCCAGTATCTTTTGCTTCAAATGTTAACGTCTTATCCACTAGTCTACTACGTTCAACTTCAATAAAGTTGTTATATATGCATTTATTTCGTAAATTAGAATTATTACTCCTAATTTCTAATCATACAATTGCTGATATCTTTTTGGCCGTAGACGTTTATAATCATTGATATACCTGACACTAGTTTTACTCACAGTTTAAGGTTTGACCATAAATACACACGTGAAATACTCACTTACAGTAAATAGAGAAGTTGATAAAGCGATTTAAAAGTGCATAGATTAAAATGTTTCTAATATATTGTTCATGGATTTATTTACTTACTGTGATCTTTAGTTCGAAATGATTCAAAACAAATGTTTCAGTTTCGTATAGACAAAGTGGAAATTAATTAACAACTGCTTTGTTAGCTTGAATTCTATCAGGCAATATTGACTTAAATACGTATTAGCCGTCCCCAAGATTCAAGTAATGTACTGAGTTAGTTAAACGATTACAATATAGTAAGGTGAATGGTACCTAGGCACGACAGAGCAAGTAATTATGGTTCAGTACATTTTTACGCTTATATGATTTAATCATGTAACCAGTTTTCCCAAGTTCTTACTCTACCCATAGTTTTGAAATATTCAAGAGTGAAATTGCCGTTGGGCCTTTTTGTTTTCTATTTTGGAATGGGGGTTTGTGGGGGTTGTATTAATTTTATTAGTTGAATTGTCGGGTAAAGACAGGTATCTACCTCAGACAATGGATGAAGGTTTGCACAAGATCGTGGATCAATTCAAGTTAGACATTAACACCGTTGGATGCCAGCTCAGTGGTCTAGAGGTTAGGCATATACATGGGATAAAGAAAGCTTATCAGCTAAATAATATTTTTGTCTCTCTCTCTCTCTGTTTTTTTGTTCAGTTCACTTACATCAGGTGTTCAAATAGTGCCGAATTATATAAATGAGAACAATCAACAAGACCAACCTTTTTTATTTCGTTTTATGCTAACTAATCAATATGATTTTACCCTATTCATATCGAAAATTGATTTTTTAACTCCGAGTCATAAATATTTACTACAGGTGAGTGAGTATTAATAAATGTGTTAGTTAATTTCTTTATGATAACAATGTCACTTTGTTTGTATATGTTTCTATATGTACTCATGTATGTATATATATACCTGTGACTTTTACTATTGCTTTAATGTGTAAATTTCTAAATCGTTATAGGTTTGGAATTAAAATGTCAGAATGATTATTCTGTTCATTTGAACCACTGAAAGAAGATTTCATTATTCATCATAAAATAATAAAATAACTTTTCTTTTTACCACAATTTATTAAGGTTACATAGAATTTCGAATCCATAAACTATGTAGTTTGTGTCAGTGCTACGGATGTTACTTTCAGAATTTCAGAAGAATTAGCTCAATCCTTTCTGTCTTCTTTTGAAATTTTGTTTTCCCAATAGAGTTTGAAAGATTGTAAATTTACAATAAAACAAAACATATCAAGTGAATAGACTATACCACAGAAAATTAAAATCTAACACAATACTGAATATAGAATTCAGATAGAGTTACCTACATCCATTTATGATATAACTTATTTACCTACTTCAAGTTTCTTAACTCTAGATTTTTTGTCATATTGTGTTTAGTAAATAAGTTTCACATTGGGTACAAGTTTATAAGGACGGAAGATAATTCATTTAGGATAGCCTTGAATCCTCCTAATTGTACTTCATTTTCTAGATCATATTTTATCTATGCTAATCACTACAACTAGATTAGAAAATACTGGGGCTAAAATTCTAGTGGAAATAAATATCTGATGTATTTAAATATCTCATAAAGAAATCTCTATAGATATCACTTATTTACTTGGAATCAAAGCTGCACATCCTACTGAATAATCGATAGAGAATATATTTTATTCAAGTATTCTATTTATTATGAATGCTTCAACTTCAAATTAATTGCATAAACAAAATTAGCACTTGAACTAGGATTTGTGAGATTTTAACTGAGCTAAGTAATTTTAAAAGATAACTACCATTCTCCCAGTTAATCAACTAATGAGAGGAACACAAACATATTGACATCTTTTTTAAATTATCTTTTGCTTTTGAGTGGTAATACATTGGGCATAATGGATTGATCATCATCCGCCTCATGATCTTTTCTGACTCTTGTTTAATAATGTAATACATAACAAGTAATATCATCTTGGCTGAATACTTTTAGATCAGAATGTTAGTTCAGATTTATTTAATATTCCATTGGAATTCTAAACCGATCTATGTTAAACCGCTATTGAAAATTGGGAGCAATAGACGACCGTTCCGTCCTAGTATGGGACTTCTCGGCAGTGTGCATGTATGACCTCGTAACCAGGGATCGAACCCAGGATTTTCTGTTCTGGTTTTTTTATACTGCCTAGTCGAATGGCTAGTGATAGTTTGGTCTTTTAAAAACTATACATTTGCGATTTAGGTATCGATTCATTATGAACGGCCTGGGATTTTAAACACTGTAGTCATTTTAACGTTTTGTCAGTTGGATTATTACGTTAAAAATCTAAAATGACTATAGTAACCGTAGTGACTGCTCATTCACAGAGTGTATATCCCAATCATAAATGAATAAATTTTGAATGACCGAATCCTTGACAGTCTGAATGAGTTTATTTGATAATTAGGGCCATCGATCAAGATGATGTAATTAACCAGTTAACAAATAATTAGTTGAGAATAAAATTGAAAGCTGTGAATCAACTGTTGATATTTTCTTTTAATTATCAGTATAATTTGAATATCACACAGTTTTCTATTGTTTACATAATTCATTGACTGTTTACAGAGGACAGAGAGACGTGAGTAGCAGGGTGACTGCTACGGTCATATGAATTGTCATATGTACATAAACGTCGGAATTTTCTAGAGGAAATATATATATATATATATATATATATATATATATATATATATATATATATATATATATATATATAATGGCACATGACAAATAATACGCGACTCCATAATTGTTATTATTATCTGATTATCATGTGGTCTCATTTGTTATTAATTCATATTATGTTTAATTTCTTTAGAGGTTTACTTGACACATATATTACTTCTCTCGTGTCATTTGTTTTTACACGTTCGTACTGTTGCACTGAGAAGAAAAGATTAAAAACAGCCGATAAATATTATTGCCATTTGCAGTTTTGTGATACTATATGAAATTAAGTGTACTATATCACTTATTTATTTTCAGTATGGGAGGATTTGTGTAAGGCGTAGAGTTTTGAAAGTTTAAATCACAAATTCATCTTAGCCTGATCACCATTGAAAACCTGGAAGCAATAAACAGACGTTCAGTCCAAGTATAGGGATGCCTTTGTAGTGCATAGCTATGATCCTTCTCCCGGGAATCAAACCGAGGGCCTAGGTCTCGTACGTGAATGTTTAACCTCAAGACCACTGAGCTGACATCAATACCGTCGGTTGCTGGTTCAGTGGTCTAGCCAATATCAGTTCGTGATTTAAATTATGAAAATCCTGTAATCCCTACAAATCCCCTCATACTGAATATAATCATGTGTTCACTAATGACTAATTTCAAGATGTAACCTCCTAAAGTTCCAATGAGAAACCACGACCAGTGACTATATTGAGTATGAAACAGTAATCCACCATACATGATGGATAGGGGTTGCTCAATATTGTCAATTTATTTATTTGTTAATAGTTATAGTTGATAAACATGATTACACTTATTTGTAATTGCTCACACTTTTACTACATGTAAACATACTCATTTAAAATGTATACTTTTTATTTTCATTTCCTTTTTCAATCTTTTCTTATGGAATCATATAAAAATGAAATTTTAATGAAAAGATTCATCATCGTGTAACTAATACCGAAATAATACCGAATCAAACGAAATTGATTATGAGTATATCTATTGTTGATAATAGAATTACACGTTTGCATGGTGTATTTATTGTGTATTCGAGTATATCCGCTTTTCATATACCGTACGATATTTATTCTGGTAAACTTCATGTAAGTTGATTTATTTATTTTTCATTGAAATTATTATTATTGTTTTAATTGTTTTCGTCTTATCCAGTGTATATGTTGGTGATTGTATATATGTCTGGGATGATGGTTGGAATTTTTCTTTCATATCACACATTTATGCACAGACATATGACTTGTAGTTGAGAAAAGGAAGTAGATTTTATTGTTTTTTCGTAAGACTAGTTACAAATAATTAAATATGGATGGTCATTAAACTGTGAGAAATTAAAGTAATATATCCTTGAGAAAGAAGTAATCAATTGAAATAATGTATTTATCTATCATATGTATGTAACAGGAGTAGCGGTTTAATGATTAAAGTACTCAACATTGAAACATTAGGTTACACAATTAAATATCATTAAATCTACTTTGGTTCCTGCAGGTCGGATAGTATTAATAGCTGTCAGATAAACAGTATGGCTGAAATTTCAATTCATAGACCAGTACTTCGTTTATGAGTTACATTAAAATATATAGAGTAATAAACCAACCACATCAATAGAGTATAAATTAACTCCTTCATATGACAAATGTCACATAGACACGTATACACCTCACCTTTGACTTTAATAACATGGCTTTCGATTTTACTAAATATTTTCTGGTTTTTTTCTCTGATCTATTTCAACTTAATTTGATTATTTATTCTTCCTGAAGAAACGACTTAAGTACGAAGTGTTTCAATTTTTCTACTCGTTGGGATATTACAATTATTTTAATATTATAATTCATGAATAAGCAAATAAATTCTCATTTCGCCTCTGCTAAAATAGAGAGGACTTTTAAACAATTAAATATGTGCATGTTTTTTTATTTGATATAACTCGATATTAGTCGGTAAGATTGTTGTTCTATCAACAATGAGTTTAATTATGCTTAACTTAATAATACCTTACCGTCAACACTTAACCTTTAGTTTAGTGACTGAAAAAAATACAAATTTCAACCTCTATGTTACAGATTTTAACCCAGTTTTTAAACTTTTGAAATAAAGGTGATTCTGTAAAAGTTTAAATGGTAAATCAGTGTCGTTCTACCGGTGTAAAAATGAATTTGTCATCTGATGTTCATTTTCTGGTAATTATTTATTATTGTTTAAACACTAGTGCAAGAAGGCACCAAAAATATATGCGCCACACTTCGTCATCCGATTGGTGTAAGGGCTGGAATATTGCCAGGGCGCCCAATCCGGAGCCTTTGACCTAGAGGTCTAGTCCAGAAGGCGATGGAACAACGTTAGGAAATGCAGTCCCATGGCAGCCGGTGATCAACGTAAAGTTCATACTCCATTTGTTCCCTCAGGATCCTGGAGCCTATGTACACTATTGTTTTGAGACCAGAGTTTTCCAACTTTCCTAGATGGGTTCTCAGTATCTACTATCCCTGTTTAAGTGCCGAATATTCTCTTTTCATCCCCTCAACTTCGAAAACAACCTTCTCACCTCGAGAAGGTAGGGGATGAGACTTTCCTGTCCGTGGCTATATACGCGTGGCTATGAGAGAGCATTTCGGGAGGAAGGGCGGACTCTCCCCGCTCCCCCGTGATGAAAGGTATATCGTAAAGATAATATAATGTAGTTTATTTATAAAAAATAACCGAAATATAATTATCCTATTCAAGTTTTTTAGATAATAAGAAATGGCGTGTTGTAACAAGAATTTTATTTTAATATTAAAATACTCCATATGAATCCTTACACGGGCTGTACAAGACTGTCACATCTAATTTTATTGATAATTGACTTGAACTAGTTTAATGAATAAAGAAATTAATCACAGCCGTTACTGCATGTCACTACTTTGGTAGATCTTTTTTTATCGATTCCACTTCAAAAATATGAGATCGTAGTTAGTTGTTCAAAGCAAAAATAAGAAAATGACGTAATTAACCGGAGATTAATTAAAACACAAAACAGGATGGAGTAATTCACCGAAGTGATCTGCTTACGACCACTTCATTCTTATATGTGTAGAAATGTAAATACATATACCATTTTTGCAATCATAATGCATAATATATTAGTTAATTTATGAAATGAAACCAAAATAAATAAATGTTCGAAAATGTATTATTCCTATTCAGTGACTGCAGATGAGGTTTATGGAAAAAAAGCTTGAAAAATTAACATGAGGAGCTGTAGTTGCTAGGGCATAATTTATGGTTGTCATGATGTTTTTTTTTCAAAGTAATTAGAACGACTATAAAAACAGTAATAAGTATTTATTTGATCTCTGGATAAGAGCTTAAAGTGGTAAGGAGGTAGGGTGGTTTGTAAAGGTTATGGATTACAACCTTGGAAGGTTGAATGAGTTTCTGCTGCACACACGTTTAAAGCTTTGCATATATATATATATATATATATATATATATATATATATATATATATATATATATATATATATATATATATAGTAGAAAGACATTCTCCCATACTATCTTCAATCATGTGATAAAATGTTTTGCTGTACCAACGTACCTTATCGTAATTGTTAATCAAGTCACAATCAGATTAATCTGTTGTCAGTATATATTTCATGGGGGAGGGGGTAGTACCTACAGTAAATATTACTTCACTGTGCTATTTTTCAATGTTGTACATTAGTCACCTGGCCTACACATAATTTGCTACCTTAAATAAAATTTCAATTTGGTTTTTTCTTGCATAAATATATACGAAAGCATCCATTCTAGTGAAGTGTTATTGATCGAAAATACAGCCCAATTTTCATTATTTTTTCCCGTTTATTCAGCTTAAACTTTTATGGTAAATGATAATCCCCACTATACATTATGTTCATATACTCTATCTCATTGTATATATATCATTTATGTTGTTCAAAATAATTTAATATTTTATTCATTTTTTAATAATAATTCATAAATTAATCAAAAAATAATCATTTATCCTCCTGAAGTGAAAGTAAAGTAGAAAGACGATACGGAGAGCAGAATATAATAATGATGTATATGTAATGATGTAAAAAGTAAATAGAAAATTAGATGATTGTACAAGATGTAGAGAAGTGCTGTGATACAGATTATATCACGCCATAAACCAGCAAAGCAAAGAATACATTTTTGATAGTTTAGGTATTTGTAATAAACATAGTGTAATAGTAATTAGCATGAATAGTGATGTTGTATTTCTTCTGTTTTTTGTTTTCAAATAGTTGTAACAACAATAATAATAACGTGTTGTAGCACACTAAAATTATTATTTAATGACATAACATACCTAACATAATAATTTGTGTGTCTATCTATATACGTAATGACCTTATTATTACATACAAAAGAGACTAAGCCTTGTTGTCATTTTTATGATCATCAACTGATCTTATCTCATTTATTTGTACTCCGGGTTGTATACTTGTTTGTGTTTGTGATTGCACAGTTGAAATAGTATAAAATACTTTTTATAAAAAAATATCTGAGCATTTTTCTCCAAGTTTGTTTCTTTTTATGACAAATATAGTTACATAAAATTGCAAGCTTATACTTAGTATGATTTTAATGATGATAATAATAATAATGGTGAAAACTAAGGATCATATGACAATATGTTGATATACATTATGATTAATCGTACTTATAATTATAATACAATCTCAATAACTACTTGTTTCATAACAACAAAATTGATTTTAATAGTTGAATTCATGAGTCTATCTAAGCTAGACCACCATTGAATAACCGGAAGCACCGGATGGTGATGTAACTTAGATCGACTCATGATTTTAACTGTTAAAATTATTAAAATCTCCACAAATCCCCATTCGGATAATGAAATTAATCATGGTGGTAATGTAGTGAACGACAACACAAGTGGGGACAATCGAATGTATTTGAACACAAAATTACGGAACACTTTGATAAAATCTGGGAACCATATAGTGAATACTTCATTTGCAAAATGTTTATTAATTGTCTTAGGCTTCAATGTCCCCGCATTTCTATACCAATCGTTTTCTGTTCCCGTTTCTTCCTCCTTGATCTTATCGACCTTCTGCCGCCAGACATTCGATTCCTGACTAGCGTTGTATACTACTTATGTCGACATAAGTAGCACACACCACAGTAATACTGTCAACACAAACAGGATAAAAGTTGATTTAATGACAGTAAAATTATGATTATTCAAGTACAGCTGTATTACTGTTTTATTTATAACAGTTATTATTTTCTTCTTGTGTATACTCTGTCGTTTTTTCTTCGTATCATTGAGATAACTATTATTTCATCAAAATCATGAACAGATGTAACTTGGATCAGTCCATGATTTCAATGAAGTTCAAAAATTTCCACACACCCCCATACTGAAAACAAATATTATTTTTGATTTCTGTAAATGTTTATCTTAATAGTCATCTCTATAATTGTTTTGATAATATGAACTGTATTAATTCGGACCATGTAATAAATTCTATGTTTGTTTTTTTATTATTTGCCAACTGATAGAGCTCATCATTATGTGTTTTTTATTGTTCATGGTTATTATCGTTTCTATTACTCCTTTTCATAATTAGCTTAAAAGTAAGCAACAATTGTCAATTAATGTACTACTCAACTTTGAACCACCAACTTTCTTTATGTAGATGAAATGAAGTTTGGACCGTTAGCCTAGTATTTGAAAGTCAAATAATTTAATTGATAAACCACCAACACTTCATTAGATCATTCTGATATTCTGAGACATTTTGTGTACTTTTTAAGGTGATATCTCGATTCATTTACAATGTCTTATTTTGGAAATTATTGAGGATTGACATATTACTCTAGGGGTTTGTGGAGGTAGTTAAATGTCATAGTTTACATCACTAACTGATCTTAGTTAAACAACTATCAAAAACCGGAAGCCATCGAACATCTTTTCTGCCATGTGTAAGACTCCTCAACATTGCACACTCCCTAATCCACTGGTAACTGAACTCAGGACATTCAGATCTCTGAGTTAGCACCCACCGGTTCAATCAACTTC